TTTGGCCCCTTGAGTGTTCTAACGCCACTTCTTCAAAACAGACTCGCCCAGGCCGAAAACCGACTTCTGCGCATGGGCCACGAAGTTTTAATCGCACTGTCCGTGCGCGCCCACACGTGGTGTTTTTGTGGAAGAGCCACACTCAAGGGGCCAAAGAGCCGCATGTGGCTCGAGAGCCACGGTTTGCCGACCACGGATCTAGGCAAACTCTAAGATACTGAAGCCAATGTCTGAGCCCCTGGAAGGCACAGAGCCCCTGGGAGCTCGGCTCCGCGTCTCGGAGACTCTGAGGTCCCGGAGAGGCTGGCGTGGTACCGGGAAGGGAGCAGCTGGAGGTCCCGTTCCACGGCCTGCAGCTCCGGGCCGGGCCCCGGAGGAGCTCCCCTCGAAGGGTCTCAAGAGAGCCCCTTGTGAAGCTGCCGGGCTCCCACGGCGACCCATGGCAGTCTCCATCTCTGCGTGACATGCGGTCCCGTTTCCATGGCCGGTGAGCGCCACGCAGACACGCACATCACTCCGGCCGGACCCGAACGAGCTACTTGCCCGGCTGAGCTCCGTCCCCCCTGCGCCGTGTGGCAGTGCGTCCACCATACTGACTTGCACAACATTAACGGCGCCGCGTGCCTGCTCCCCGTAACGCAGACTCTTTCAATCACCGTCGGGAACGGGGAAGGCCTCAGACCCGGGCGCCGGGCCAGGTTAGTAAAACTTTCCATGAGGAAAGCCTTTTGTTGTCTCCCAGGGCGGCTTAAGCTCAGGAAAGGAGGGGCGCAGGGGCTCGCAGCCCAGACTCGGGGCAGACACGATCCTGGTCCACCTGCTTGCTGCTTTAATGACATCGAGACTTCTGGAAACCCGAGAGCTCCTGGAGGAGCTGAAAGGGCCGATTGTGGATTGTGGCGGAGGCGGCAGGGAGGCCGAGGTGACAACAGGGGGCTCTGGCGGCAGACGAGCCAACGCCTTGGGAGCCATCGCTGCAGCTGTAAAGCTCTAAGGAGGGGTGCGGGTCCCCTCCCCATAAAGGCTGGAATACCCCATGTGCTTCAGAAACGTTTAGGATATGCTTCCAGCAAATGTATGGAAGCGGGGCACACAGGCAATGACGCAGGTGCGGGTGGGGGGGTTGTGGGGGGGTGAACCGCAGGCTCCACGTGAGTGAATTGAGGACACCCCCTTCCCGGGGGGGGGGGGGGGGAGTGGTCCCCTCGGGCTGCTCTCGACAATGGCCAATGCACAGAAATCCTGTCAGAGACATGACTCCCTCGCAGCTTTTACGACACATTTTTAAAAATCGACATTTCAAATAACACGAGGTCCGTAAAACCAACCTTTAAAAAAAAGGCACTCTTGTGGTTCTCCCATGACCGGGAAATCTAAACTGAGAGCCAACGTCCTGGGAATATTGTTAAACCAAAGAATACACTGTAATTGAAAGATATTTATGGGCCGAGCACCTCTGAAACAGAACCTGAGCGTAGAAACAACCCCAGACAAAGACATCCTAAAATAAGCCGGGATTCCCTCTGCGCCGCGTTTTCTGGGAAGAATGACGGAATCTAACTGGGTGAAAAGGTCAAACCACAACAAGGTGTCGCAACTCCAAAAGGTTGAGCAATCTGTCCTGGAGATGCCGCGAAGTCCGCGGTGCAGGTGACACGGTGGCCTGGGGACGGGGTTCAGGTGTCCTCCTGGCAAAGGCACCCCTGCTGCCTGCCCTGCCTGGGGTCAGCTCTGGCCACCCTCCCCTCCCTGCCTGGGGTCAGCCCTGGCCACCCTCCCCTCCCTGCCTGGGGTCAGCCCTGGCCACCCTCCCCTCCCTGCCCGGGGTCAGCCCTGGCCACCCTCCCCTCCCTGCCCGGGGTCAGCCGTGGCCCCTCTCCCAGGCAAGGTGCTCCTCCCAACACACTGAGCACATAAGGTGTCCTAAGCTCTCCGGAACCTTCCTCCACCCGGAACAAGCGGGAATGTGGACATTGTCCCCGTTGGACAAATTAACTTAAAAAAACCCTCAGTTACACAGGAACCTCACCCGGGGGCCAGCAAAGCGTCAGATCACGGAGCTGACGTGCCACCCAAGCTGCACGGAAGCAGCGTCGTTCTGCCCACACCCACAGCCACTCTCCCCCACCGCCGCATCCAGGAACCACAGTGCAAACCCACCCAGACGCCCTCCGAATGTGGGGTGGGAGCCTGGAGGCTCAGGTCCCTTAATCACGGCGTGGCCTCGATTTTGTGTCGTGCCGTCCCAGGTCTGACCTGCACATCGCTGCTCTAACCAGAGGGCGGGCTCCGGGTTCCGAGGAGTCATGCTTGGCACAAAAACCCTGGCCTCAAGGTCCTCCCATGATACCCTGTCAGTTTGGCTCCGTGGATGGAGTTCTGGCTTGCAGGCTGAAGGGTCCCGGGTTTGATTTTGGTTAAGGGCGTGCACCTTGATTGCAGGCTTGATCCTCTGCCCTGGTTGGGCTGCATGCCGGAGGCAACCATCGCTGTGTCCCCCTCACATCGACATTTCTCTCTCTGTCTCTTGTCTCCCTTCTACTCTCTAAAAATCAATGGGAAAATATCCTAGGAAGAGGATTAATAATAATAATAATAATAATAATAATAGTAAACAGACAAAGATCTTCCCACGAGCCCGGATTTTCTCGGCAGATGGTTTGCCCAACCTCTGGTGAAACAGGTGCTTTCTCCTCACGGCGGCTGCACAGCAGTAAGTGCCCCAAGATTTCCTGGGAGAGCCGGGACCAGCCATATTCCACATACCTACGGGCCGGGGAGATTTCAGCCACTCAGACAGCAAGAGGCATTGGCTCTGCTTTCTGACGGGGACAGACAAGGTGTGGCTCCCGCCGCCAGGACAGCGCAGGGTCATCATGCCCGCGTGCTTGGACCAATTCCAGCCCCTTGGGCCTGAGAGCCCCATTGAGGGAAGCCTAACACCCCAGAACCTTCAATCTCCGGGAACAGCTGTTCCACCGCCTGCTCTAACGGGCTAAGGGAAATTCGCTCTCCTGCGGCGGGCAGATCAGAGTGTCTGAAAAGGGCCCCAGGCCAGCAGGTACTCTGCAGGGGCTCCAGGCTTTCCCCGTGTGGTTCTGACTGGGAATCAGCATTGAAATGTCACGTATGGGGTGGTGGTGGGGGAGGGGGAAGAAGGGAGCGGTGCATGAAAAAGGTGCATATTCATAGACATCATTTACTGCTTTCTAGGGAGGCCACTGGCACAGCTGTCTTAACCATGGTCCCAATCCTGACCCCAAAAAGAACACTGCTTTGCTGTCCTGGGCTACACTGAAAAGCTTTGTTTATAACTGGCCTGGGACTACAGAGACTTAGGGGAATAAGGTCCCCACATGTGGCCTCAAACGGAGCTGACAGAACCTACGTGTGTGAAGCTGCACTAGGCTGGGCCGTGGGACCTCAGGGGGCCCAGGACTACGTGTGTGACCTGGAGACAAGTGGGCAGACCAGAGGCGGTTCATGGGTGGCTGAGGGGCAGTGTGTGTGTGGCCAGAGCAGGAGGCTGAGGACAGGGAGTGACTCCTACACTGTTCTACAGATGACCATGATCACAGGGAAAAAGCAAGCAGAGTATCTGGGGAAAATGAAGAGCAGACGACCTGCTAGAAAGCATCCTGACCAAGTGGGTGAGCAGCATGGGGACTCTGATGCAGATGGCACAGGTGTTTGAAAGATGTTTTGAGGCGGGACCTCCAGGACTGGGGCCTGGTGTCAGCTGGGAGTGTGACAGGGGGAGCAGGAGCCCGTCAGAGGCACCAGGTGGGCGTCAGAGCCCAGAGGAGTGGGAGGGTGTAGTCTTTGGGCACCCAGAGCTCCATGCCCACACCCCACCATGGTGACAGGAGCAGGGCAATCAGCAGAGGCTGCACCGTGGGGGCTGGGCCTGGGTGACAATGACAGCAGTCCCTGGGACTGAGGGATTCATGGTGACTGTTGTATTCAGCTTTTACCTCTCAACCAAATCTAGCTCCCAACATCAAGTGAACCAAATCCAGAGGGGCCCAGAGACTGGCCCAGGGCCGTGGCCCCAGCACCCCTCACTCACCAGCTCCTCCCATGCTGGCACCTTCTCAAAGGGCAGAACCAGCACTCGTGAGTCCACTGAATGTGAAACATTGCCCCATCATGAGCAAGGCATCCTGGGAAAGGCTGCTGCTGCCCATGAGGTGCCAGGATCATGGGACACAGGCTGGAGGGGCTTGCCAGGCATCTGCCCTCGTCCAGGAGGGATGGAGGCCAGGGCAGCACCCCGAGAGGAGAGGTGTGTGCCCTTGACTGCTCCCCACTAGCCTACACCGCGACCGTTCGTGCCCAAGTCCGGGAGACAACTTACACTTGTGTGGCTTCTTTGTGCTCACAGCCCAGGAAAGTGCCAGTGGACTGACAGGTAGCAAGCAGATTGTGGTCAGTGGTCGGCAAACTGCGGCTCTCGAGCCATAGGCGGCTGCTGCTCTGTTGACTAATGAGTTTGCCGACCACTGCCTTAGAGAAAAGCACTTAAACAACATGTTAATAATGGACTAATGTCTTTAACCTGAAGTCAAAACTTCTGGGTAAGGAAAATGCCTTACACAGTGCTCGGCAAACTCATTAGTCAACAGAGGGGCAAACCGTGGCTCCCGAGCTGCAGTTTGCTGACCATTGACCTTGGTGATCAAGGTGCAAGTCAGATGGCCTGCTGTCCCTCAGCCACAGCCCCAGCTCGTCCCCAAGGCAACAGCAGCTCTTTATACTGAATACGCTGAGAACCATCACAGCATCTCGTTACTATTTACAGGAAGACCGTGGCACCGAGATCTTCACACCCTTGTCCTGCCTGCCACGCTCAGCGACACGTCTGCAGGGAGAGCCACGTGCTGTGCTGGGGCTCAGGAGCCGGGGTGCACTCCTCCGCCAAGCAGCGAGTCCGCACACCCCTCCTCCGCGCACTCACACGGTGCCAAGCCAGGCGCCCACTGGCGGCCGCGGGCACTTACCATCGTCCAGGTACAGCTGGTCCAACTCCTGAGGCTCTCGCTTGACCGATACGGGAGTGGGGGCCAGACCCTGATTACTGTCCTCACGCACCTCGGGCAGCGGCGGAGGCCGGGCGGCTGCAGGCTCTGTTTCCGGAACCTTCGGCAGTTGGTGCTGCTGGTGGCCCATCCCCGGTGGGCGGGTTGGGCTGCAGGACTGCAGACAGGTCGGCTCTTGGGTACCCGATGGCAGTGCAGTCGAGGGGCTGTGGGGACAGAGCGCTGGCTGGCCGCCCGGGGGACGGCTGCTGCTCGGCTGTGGACTCACCTGTGGCTGCAGCAGGGCGGGGGGCGGCGGCTGGGGGGAGCCGGGGTGCACGCTCACGGGCCTCGGCATCTCGGGGCCGGCGAGGGCCCCCGCGGCCGGCCGCTGGAGTCCGAGGGGGCCGTGGCCCGGGCTGGCCATGCCCTTGCTGTAGGGGGCGGAGGACAGGTCGTGCAGCGTCGGGCTGGTGCTGGGCGGCGGGGACATCACGGCGCTCCTCTGGAGGCAGGGCGGGAAGCCGGCCACGAGGCAGGACCCCGGGTCGGGCGGCAGGGCCAGCTGTTGGCTGAAGCAGGGCTTCGGGAGCGGGCTCAGGCCCTGGCTCATTGGTCCGCAGGTCAGGGCCGGCTCGTAGTCGTCGGTGGGCTCTGTTTTTATGGTTGGAACTGTGAGAAGAAGAAGAAGAAGAAAAAAAACCACGTTAAATAAACACGGCTGCAGAGGGGTGCCGGGGCGGGCTGCGGCCAGGACACCCTCTGAAGACAAACAGCGTCGTGACTGGGCCCTGTGTCTCCCGCCCGGCTCTCCCACCCAATTAAAAAGGAGGGCGTGAGTCATCGGCTCCGACAGCCACAGCTGCTTCTAATACCGAGAAACTATTTTCCTTGGAGTCTCCCACAGCACTAATGTGCCATAAAAACCCGTTCGCAAACGGCAGTGGAAGCCTGGACCCGAGGGCCCGCGGATTTGTAGCAATCAAAGCGAGAATGCGAACTTGGACGCACGGCCGCATCTGTGCGCTACCACCGCCGTCTGATAGGCGTCTGCACGGGCAGTGAGTATGAGGACAGGCGTGCGGCGCACACCCCCGACGGCTGTGTCAGGAGAGGAGCCGTCAGTGCCAGGAACGGAAAGGCCGCTCTCCTTCCCACCCCTCGGCTTCCGCTGCTGAAGAACAAGCTGTGACTGCTGCCCTGGCCTGCGGGGGAGGCTCTGAGCTGTGAGCTGCTTCGAGTGCCCCGTCCCCTCACTGGGAAGCGGCCGAGGCTGAGAACGGGCTGGGATGCAGCTGAAGGCACATGGAAGAGGAGAGGGTCCCGCGAGCCCGGGCCCTGCAGGGGGTGTCGGGAGAAGGCACATGGGAGCCGTGTGCTGACTCGGCTCGGCTCCACCTCCAGCCCAGGCCGCTGCCCCCGCGCTCGCCTCCTGTGTCCCGTTGTCTCCTCGGCTTCACTTGTGCCCATTTCCAGAGACATCTCTGTGGTCGGGGTTGTTCTGGGCGACAGCGATCGCACACACTCCCAGCAGGTGCCCGTGCGGCTTCGAAGACTGCAGTGTGACCAGGAGCTGTCATGGAGGGACCCCCCCCCCCCCCCCCAGACACAGCCTAGGGCCTGCCAGACGGCCTCCTCCTTAAGCAACGAAAAGCGTGTTTACATCTTGAGACAAAATGTTTCAGGAAGGTCTTGACCCAGCCAGTGTGCTGTCTGCTCTGCCTGGTGGCCCGGTCGGTGTCCGTGGTTCCCAGCCGCTGGGTGAGGGCATTGGGTGAGGGCTGCCTGGCGTGCCCTGGGACAGGTGTCTGCTTGCTGGGCTCCTTGTCTCTCACATGAAGGCGGCGGCACTCAGACTAAACGGCGAGGACGGTTCCCGGCGAGTGATCCCCTGCGAATGGACGTCCACGCCTAGGCTTTCAGCCCCAGGAGTTCACCGCGGGACAGCGTGTCCCGGCTGGACTCACATCACGCACCCGCCGTTAAGGTGTCCCTCTGCACACAGACCAGGTGCGTGCATGACTGTCTGTGGGCCTGGGCGGTGTGGGTGTGAGTGGAGGCAAGGAGGAAACACAGGGTCACAGCAGTCACGAGGCCTCCACCAGCACCGCCACGACCGCGGCCGGCGGACTTCGCACAGGTGCCTGAGGGGGCACGGCCGGGCGGTCAGCAGCCACAGGTAGTGTGCCCGGCGCCCGGCCCGCCCCTGTCACTCCATAGCCCCGCCTGTGGAGGGCTTTCCTTGTTTCAGGAGAGCGCTGCCGGCCAGGGCCCAGGATGAAGGCTGGAGTCCTGGGCGACCGTTGTCCCGAGGGGCCTGTCAGTGGCGGCAGAAGGGACCAGGAGAGCTGGCCGTCCTCAGGGGCAAATGCTAATTCCGTGTGGATCACATGAGTGACACACCGCAGCCCTGGGCCGGCCCGCAGTTGGGAGTCCTGGGAGGCAGGGGGCTCCCGAGGGCGGGCGCGTGTGTCCGGGAGGACCGCCACCCCATGACGAGGCCGTGTGTGTCTGTGGCCCGTGTCCCCGAGCGTGTGCGGAAGAGCACGTGTGGCTCGGTCAGGTGGTACCCGGGAAGGCACCCCCTCCCAGGGTCTCCGTTAACTTCCTAATCGGCCCCCCGTGACGGGGTCCTGCCGGCGAGCACCCCAGCAGGGGCCTCCTGCCTCTGCTCCCTCTGGCCGCCTGACGCAGGCTCCCGCCACGTGCCCGTGTCCACAGACAGGCAGGGGACGGGCTGGACCTGGGCTGCCAGGACCGCGATGACGTGCCCACAGCTAACAGAGAACAGCTGCGGCCCGGCTTCACGCTGGAGAGCCGGGCGTGCGAAGGTGGCCTCCGCTCCTCCACCTTGAGGGTCTGAGCTCCAGGCAGACGGCCGGCCCGAGCGGCTGGTGCCCCCAGGGCGGCGCCGGCCAGCATTACCCTCGGGCAGTCCCTGTGGTCCAGGGGCAGGTCCAGGCACGGGCCCAACCAGGAACCTCCCTCCTGTTCCCAGAAGGTTATGAACCCAGAAATGGGCAAGGAGGCAGGTCGATGGCTGCTTGAGCAAATGTGCCCCCCCAGGAGGGACCAGCGTCTCCCGTTCCAAAGGCACCTGCGTGAAACCGGGCGTCCAGAGCGGCAAAGGTAAAAGTCCGCACGAGTTCGGTAGCTTCCAGAGTTCATGGATGCCTGGCGCTTAAATTAAGGGCCTTGTGGGACCGTCTGGCCCCGAAGTCGGCCAGGCACGAGGGTCCGTGTGTCTCTCATGACGCATCCCCTGAGCTCATTAAACCTCTTACCCATCTGCTCCTCACCTCACTGAAGGTGCAGCCCAAAGGAGCGGCCTGGGGGGAACGCCAGCAGCGTGACTGCCAACATGGCGACTGTGCCCCATTGGCTGGCCCTCGGCCAAGCAGGCACCTTCAATGGGCGGGAGCAGGCTGCCGTGCCTGCTCGGCGGCCACAGTGTCACCGATGACCTGTTTGAGCCCCCGTGGCACCAGCACTGACTCCCACATCTGCCTGCTTCCAGGGCTCCTTCTGGGAAAATCCCACAGATGCCTGTTGGGGCCTCTGGGAGTCCCCAGCCGAGCCGGGTCCTGGGGGTGTGGACACAGGGAACTGAACACCCCCAATGGCTTCAGAAGGATGGAGCATGGACTCAGGGCTGAATTCATCAGGCTGGACCCGCCCACCCAGCCTTCTGGGGACTGAAGGCCGTATCCCTTCTGACACTCCTCCCTGTGTCTGCAGCTGCTGCCACTCTACATCCATGAGGTGATCTGCTCCCCGCTGGCACCGTGCTCCCCGTGTACCCCAAGGCCCGGTACAGAGGCCCAACACAAGGCCACAGGACAGACTCCCTTAAGAAATAAACTCGTGTTCAGGTAACGGAGGTGATCCCCGCCCTGCCTGCTCCGGTGGGGTCCGCACGGCCCCAGGACAGACACACCCGGTGATTCGGCACCAGGAAGGGGCCCCGGGATACCCCGCCCGGCCGCAGCTGAGACAGACCGGCGCGATGCCCGGCCAGCCCGCGGGCGTGTGGTCCCTCGGGAAACACAAACACGACCCTCCAGGGACGAAGCCGCAGCCCATGCTCCTGTGGTGTCCTCAGAACCTTAAAGGCGGAACACACTGCGACTGCCTGTGCCTAGCTGTGTTTCTCGTGTGGTTTTCAAAGGAAATGAACACCTCCCTGCCAATCAGAGCCACCTCGGCGCCGCCTCCTGTTTCCCATTAGGGAGGGAGGAGGACGCGTCCATCGGCGCAGAGGCCTCAGCAATGGCGCCGCTCTCGCTGCTGGCGGCGGGTCTGGTTCCCCCGGAAGCAGATTCCTCCCAGCACGGAGGTTCCCTGTGATGCCGCGTCTGCTGTCCTCCTTGCGTCCACCACCCTTACCCGTCCGGCGGGAGGGCTGGTAGTGGGAGGGCATGCCAGAGACACGGAGGTGACTAGAGGGGTCAGCTTGTCACAGACAGCCTACGTGGCAGGGTCAGCGCTGGTCTTCAGGGCGCTGGGCTCCCCTCGGCGCGGCCCAGCAGCTGCCCGCTGCGGAGACGGCGCACGCGGTCTGACCCCAAGGCCCCTCCTCCCCCAGATCTGCTCTCTGCTCTGTGTGGGCGCTGAGGCCCGTTGTGTCTGACGCCAGCGCCTCACAGACAGGCTCCGAGTCTCCGGGCCCAGCCTGATGCTCACCCACCCCGGGGACATCCCTCACAGACTTGAGATTCTATATCCAGGAACCAGCTGCAGGGTCTTCTCGCCCCTGCCACATGCACATGGCAATTGTAAAGACAACGAGAGTGGGCAAGGCTCTGTCCTAGGAGGCTCTGTCCAGCCCCTACAGCAGTGGTGTGTGGGCCAAACAGCATTCTAGAACATTCCTGGCCTCACTCAGAGAAGTCCAAGCCTGGCCAATGGGCTCCTTTCCTCACAGGGCAATGGTGATGGGAGGCACCTTCTGAGGCGGGGGGTTGGAGGGGGTGGTGGTGGTGGTGGTGGTGGTGGTAATGCTTCCTGCAGCCCCACCTGCCACCCAGGCCCCCACCTCCCAGGGTGATGCCACATGCACAGGCTCCAGGCTGGGTCCTCATGGCCCCACATCTGTCGCCGTATCTCACGCGGACCATCAGAGGACAACGTGCCCCTCCCCTTCGAGGCCCGGCCACCATCACCCCATCCACACACCCATCCGAAACCTCTCAGAATTCACCCCAGAGAGCAGTGGGCCCAGGATGTTGGGTGAACAGCTAATCTCTACCCTGCCTGTCACCCAGGGGTGCATCCGTAAATGGCCACCACTGGCTGTTTGTTTGTTTTTCATTTCCTTTTAAAATACGTTTTTATTGTTTTTTAGAGAGAGAGGAATGGAGAGGGATAGAGAGATAGAAACATCATCCATGAGAGAGAAACATCCTCCATCAGCTGCCCCCTGCATGATCCCTCCTGGGATCAAGTCTGCAACGGGGCATGTGCCCTGCCTGGGAATTGAACCAACAGCCTCTTGGTTCCTGGTTTGATGCTCAACCACTGAGCAACAACAGCCTGGCCTGGATGTGTTTTAATCGATGAACAGAACGAAGGCGGCCAATGGGCTGAGCTGACAGTGACTCAGCCCTGGGCAGTGACAAGATGCAGGTGCAAAATTTGGTCCCCACATGGCCTCGACCCCCAGGCTTTCACTT